TAAAGTGGAAATAACTAAATTTAAAGCTTCATATGATAGTTACGACAGTGGCGATGATTTCAGGCAATATGCTGGTTCAAGTATTTGATTCAACCATAAGTGAAGTGGTTGAATGTTGATGTGCTAGTAAATCTGAAAAGAAAAACCTGATAATCACGTAAAGAACGATGGAACGAACAGTGTGAAAGGTTACCACCCAAGATCACCTAGTGAGTACAAATTGGTTAAAGTTCTGGATTAACAGACGTCACTTTTATTTTCAATGACGCAAAGAGGACGTAAGCCAGCCACGAGGATCACCCGAGATCCAACTGGTGAACGTCAGGAATTACACATTGCGTTTCGCTCCACTTGGTCATCAATGAACCGCTGGTACGATCTGATAGTTAAGTTGGTTGGTTAGCGGTGGAAGCAGGAAGCGAATAACCAAGAATACTGGAGAAGAATCGATCTGCGTCATAACTCAGTCATAGCGACGACAAGTCGGATAACGGTTGCTGGTCCAAGTGTTTCGGGGTCGATGACCAGCCACATACGAAACACTTGATGACGACCAGTTGTCGTTGCTTTTCATGCCGACCAGTTGTCGTTGCCGACTGTTGCTTTCAAAAATGATAATTTAATATACTTTTACACACATTAAAAGTAGAACAGGTGAAACGATAGCTTCAGAATAGGAAGTTTTATATTGTTGATAGCTCCGGTCTGGCAAAAATCACGTCTAGTGCCATTGTTCTGTACTCTTTAAGTTTCGGCATGTGAATTTTCACGAAGTCTCTCATCTCAGTCAGCCGTTTATGCGATTCGTCTTTGTTCCAGAACGCTCCGTTGAAGGCGCTGTATTCGACCTGGATGACGGAGACATCGATTCCGCTGTCGGGAATACTTTTGAGGATGGGCAGCTCACCTCCTTCGACGTCCAGTGAAAAGTAGTCGACTTTGGTCACGTTGATCACATTCATGACACTCTTTAACGGAAAGCACCATACTTTCGCCACAGTACATCGACGATATAGGCGCATTAAGCTCAGCTTTAAGCGGTTCATATTCTCTTCGGTAGAACCCACTTCCATAGCCTCAACGAACAGACGTTTTTCTGGTTTTTGAGCGCCGTGAACGCAGCCTTTGAGAAGCCATGCCTTTCGCTTCTTGTTAAGCATGTTGGCGAAGTTGATGGCACCAGCTTCTACCAACAGTCCTGTCCAGTTGAGAAACCTCTCGAAGTATAGCGTGTTGGAGTAAGTCTCGCCGTCGTAGGCTCCCATTTCGACGAAGAAGCCGTCGCGCTTGCCCTTGAATATTCGGTCGACGGCCATCGACTGCTTCCTCTGTGAGTGATCCCGTCGCAGTGGCTCTTCCAAGTTGTACGGCGTTTCTCTGGACGTCGGTGGAATCATGTAGTTACTGCGAATGTGCGATGCGAGTCTTGGGTCATCGGCGTCCCAGTCGGCAATGAAGTCGTCGTTCGGCTTTGCCGAATCTTCTACATATTCTGTGCAAGGTCTGCTACCCACCGCCAGAAGCATCAACGTACACAAGGTTAGCACCATGGCTAGAAACAAAATCGGCTTCATACGGCGGCGTCTAAAAAAATAGGATCCTTTCACACGAGAAAAGAACCACTGAAACGGCTTATGGCCCTGACCCATTTTCGTCAACGACATCCGCATCGCCATTTGCGTTGAAACCATTACAATACAATGAGAGCGACTAGCAATTACAAGTCGTCGTTGATAACCAGTTATTATGAACTACGTTCACTGCGTTCCGGGAGGAGGAGCTAATATAATAACCGGTTCCATCTTTCACGATGCATTCGCATTCGTTATGGATTCAGCAGTCTAGCTGACATAACAAAGACCTCTCACGACGCGTTGCTTAACAGGTCGATAATAAAATATAAAAACTCATTGCTGATCGAAACGATAAGCGAAACAACGGAAAGTACTGAATGATTCCGCTACGGTTGACCTGTCTTGGATGGTTCAAAAGCTATTGCAATACCGCAGACAGCGAAGCAGCTTTAAAATGGTAGAAAATATAGTGTGAATTTTTAAATTCATGTTGAAGGTCAAGCAAAGCTGCTTAATTCGACAAGGGGAACAGCGACATCAGTTCGAAACCAAGTAAATTCGACAGTTGCGCATTTTTTCCACGCCGTCTACAACGATATAAGATTAAAACTACGTCCAACATCGCTGCTTCCCACCTCCATCGACAGCACTGAATGTCCAGCACCAATTTAGCCAGTCTTTCTATCACTGACTGTACCCTTACGATGTCGGCCGAGAGGAGAACTGCAAGAAAATTAATCCTCATATAAAAAATTTGCAGCAGTTTTAACGGTTGTTATAGTACTTCACTCTGACCCCATGGTTTACTGCAGGCCTACGAGAAAGTCATACTCGGGAATCAACACTGAATTCGAGTATGAAAACCTCACCCAGAGAAACTCGGCTGAAAAAATATTTTGCCAGTTGATTAGGGACAAACGGGTTCGCCGTCCATACAACTGCTGGAAATACCTATGGCAGACGGCCTAATGGTAATACGAGGTATGACCTACGCCGTAACAGCCAGTCATGCATACTTCATTTTCATAGACAAAGTTCATGAAGTCAGACATATGCTATTTCGGAATAACCTTATTTAGCTCCATTAAACGATGAGAAGAAAACGGGGTTCAGCAACATGAATCTGTGTTAAACCTCTGGTAGACAGAAATAGGAATATGTTCGTTTCGAATATTAGGTTATGGAAGCAATTTTTCCTGTTTGTTTCTAAGTCATGCTGACGCTCATTCATCAAAACGAATGAGCTGATTACGCGAGAGCGTTATATACTAACTCGCCTAAGGTATGGTACATTTTAACCGGTGTACACGGTAGTGGAGGATGGCTATCATAAATTTGTGAAATGGACAGCGAACCATGCAGTTGTAAACGGGATTGACATACATCCTCATTCTTGCAATAAACGGCAATTAGTTAATGCAAGGTAATCAGTCAAATATTATTTTCTGTTCAAAGTAATGACGACATCAGCATTCAGGTACGACAAACATCTTGGCCAATCAGATGACTGACCAGCACCAAGGTTTCGGCATGTCTGAATAACGAGGTGGGTCATTTTCGAAATATGCTGCAAAAGTCTTCTAAAGTCAGCACGTCTCTCTGTATTGAAAAGGACTTAGTGAGACACGAACAGAAGCCTCGACACTGTTCAATAATCCAATTTACCAAATCTTTCGCACTGTGTGTAAAGAAACCGCGCTTTCCGCATGATCACCAACCAGTGCACAAACCAGATACATTCAATTTAAGATAACATTCTTTCATTTGATTCTCAACGTCTTTACCATATGAAAGGAACCGAGCAAATTATTTTTCTCTTCTCTGCTTGATATCTTCAGTCAAGCATCTCTCTCATAACTTGTTCGTTTTGTCAATGAATAACTGCTATATGGTCATAGGCAGACAACATGAGTAAAAGGTTATTTGACAACGCTTTGGTAACACACCTTCGTGGCTCAGTCACATGCACTTTAATTAGTTCGTAGAGCTGTACAGACAAAGGCACTAACAAACCACTCTGTACATGGATGCCTCAGGTTATATCCTTCAGTCCGCTGTGAAGAGCCGATCGGCTTCCAGATGCTGGTTGTTTCTTTCTGGTCGTGTTTTCGCAAAGCCCATACCCGATGCCCTAGTAGCATGGCAACACCCGTAAATCAGCGAGTGTGAACGTCTAAGTTACACGATGCTTCACACTCCCTCGATCTGAGTGATAAAGTCGTACTTCCGGTCCGTAATTCCGCCGCTACACCCTAATCCGCCTGAGTTCGGTGTAATAATGGCGATGCTGTGCTGCTGCATAGGCCAGATCGAATTGCCTGTTGAAGTAACGATGCTCTCGCATCCAAGCCATATCAATATTCGAGACCATCATACTTCAATCAGGGAAAAATAGGTAACCGTATCATGGAAACTTTTAGTTACGGTGCCTCCTTGTTTTAACGAAGTGGTTTTCTAGACAAGAAACGGTTCTGTCGACCCTTGCCATCATTGCCTCCTTAGCTGCTCTTTAACGGAAAGAGAAAATAACAAATAGAACATAAATCTCTAACCCACATAGATTGCATGGTAGATCGTCAGATACGCAGTTCGTCAATGAAGTTACTGTCATAGGTAATTACGGCTAGCAGAGTTCGAACAAAAGAGGTGATCAGATTTGTGATGGTGTAAATAATGTTTAGAGGCCATTCACCGCTACGGTAGAGACGGCATTCCACATCGCAGAGTCGCTTCAGGAAGGCGTTACCCATTAATATGGTAAATATCAATGCGTTAGTGACGAGTGAACGGATTTTATGAGAGAATAAAAACAAGATAAATGTATCAGTATGCTCACTGGCGTAAGTTCTGCTGAACGAAATCGTCACCTTCTTCGATTTCATGAACAAACGAGGGGGGGGGGTTGGTATTTCTCAGAGAGTGGTCTTTAGTCAGTGTTCATTTATGACTCGTTTGTGCCATCG